CACGTGAGGCAGCTCAGAGGCAGCAGGCTGAAGTGAAGCAGGCCAGGCAGACACGAGAAGAAGCTCAGAGACAGCAGGCTGAAGTGAAGCAGGCCAGGCAGACGCGGGAAGCAGCTCAGAGGCAGCAGGCTGAAGTGAAGCAGGCCAGGCAGACGCGGGAAGCAGCTCAGAGGCAGCAGGCTGAAGTGAAGCAGGCTCAAGTGAAGCAGGCCAGGCAGACGCGCGAAAAAGCCCAAAGGCAGAAGACACAAGTGAAGGAAACACAGAACCAGAAAAGAGTCGAGAAACAACTTGCAGAATCGGAGAAGCTCAAAGATATCAATGAAGTACTGCACAGGTTTCAAAAAAAAATATCCCAACTTCCAGATTACACATGCTGTTTTTGTGAGACATTTAGGTTCAGACACCAGGTCCAGAAATACACATCTCAAAAATATCGAGACCATGCACAGATAGTGCAAGTGTGTCAGCTGAGTGATGAGAAGGAGGATCAGTGGATATGTTTAGCATGTCATAAGTCTCTGACCAAAGGGAAATTACCACCGTTATCCACCAAAGGCAATAATCTGAAATCAATCAGCATGCCAGTAGATCTAAAGGACCTCAACACACTTGAGCAGTTTCTTTTGACACCTGTGATTCCCTTCATGAAAATTATATGTCTGCCAAAAGGAACACAGAGGGGAATGCATGGACCTGTAGTGTGTGTGGCAGCCAACGTACCCGACACTGTCTCCAAGTTACCACGATCTATTGATGATAGTGGACTTTTGAAAGTTAAATTGAAAAGAAAGCTACAGTACCGCGGACACCACCTTTACCAACAGGTCCGTACAAACCTTGTAGCTGATGCATTCCACTTCCTGCAGCAACAACACCCTTCATTTGCAGACATTCCAAGGAATCATACGCTTGATATCTCCTGTCAACATGATTCCGCTGCTCTTATAACAGAGTCAAACCTGCCACCAACTCAATCCGAAGGGGGAATAGAATCTACCGATGTCACCAGCCCACACACTACTCCAAGTACAAGCCAGGAAAATCAAGGTGATGCTGTTGATGAAGATGAGGTGAGCGACACCTCAGCTCCACTGGTCACCTGCCTCCAACCCACTGACCTGTCACAATACATCAGCGACACCCAGGAAGATAATATCTTCTGTGTGGCCCCCGCAGAACAGAACCGCCCGCAGTCAATACAAGACAAGGAGTGTCAAGCCTTCCCTCTGCTGTTCCCAGAAGGCAAGCAAACCTATGCTGACACACGCCCAGTGAAACTCACCCTTAGCCAATACATCAAGAGTCGCTTCTTCTCTGCAGACAACAAATATGCCATGAATCCGGAGTATCTCTTCTACCTGCAATATCTGAAGGAATTCAATGAGGTGTTGTCATCAGCCTGTATAAGTCTGAGGAAGGCATCTGGTTATCAGAGTCATGTCACTGTCGGTCAACTGACAAGTGCTGCTTCATTCCGCCAGATGGTTCACCAAAATGAAGGATATAAGTTCCTAACAAAAGTAAGAGGATCAGCACCTTACTGGGACAAAACGTTGAGGGATCTGTGTGCCATGGTCAAGCAGCTGGGCATCCCAACATGGTTTGCAAGTTTCTCTGCAGCAGATCGTCGCTGGCCGGAGATAGCTTCTGCTTTTCTCAAAGTACAAC